GGGTTGTGGGTCAGGGTACCTAGGGTTGTTTCTCCGGGTCTCTTCGGGGCGCTCTCGGGGGCCTCTTGGGAGCAGTTTAGGAGCCCCTTGGAGCCTCTCGTAGGCCTTTTTGGGCCTCTTGGGAGCCTCTCTCTTGGGGGCCTCTTCGGTCCTCTTGGGGGCCTCTTGGATCCTTTCGGGGGCTTCTTTAGGGCCTCTTTGGGCCTCTTGGGGGTGCCTCGGGGCCGAGGGCTCGAAATGTCAGTTCGTGTTCCCCATCTGGGCCCCCTCTTGGGGCCGTCTTGGTGCTCTCTTGGTCCATCTTGGGCACCTCTTGCGCCGTCTTGGGGCCCCCGTGGGCCGTCTTGGGGCCCTCTTGGGGGCGTTTTGGACCGTTTTCGTGTGATCTCGGGCGCCTCGTGGGCCGTCGTTGAGTCGTGGATCGTCGGGAAGCCGAAGAAGCGACAGCGCCCAAATCCTTCAAACACCAGAGGAAACAAGTAATTGTTGTCTCTTGGGGCCCTGTTGGGAGGCATCATGGAGGCCTCTTTGGGCGTCTTGGAGGCCTCTTGTGTAGCCCTGGGCCATCTTCGGCGTCGTGGACCGATCGTTTGACGACTCGGGGCCCTCTTAGGCCGCCTTGAGAGCCTCCGAAAAAATTATGCGAGAAGACGCGGCAAGCCCCCGACGAGACGCGCTAAGCCCTGGTGGGTTTGGCGATTTGGGGTCCGGGCCCTTCAGGGACTCTTCAGTAGTGAGGTTTGAGGCTTACAAGCCCGTCGCTGAGCGTAGGCATTGCCAGGTATCCAGATCCCCATCTATTTTGGCCGCCTTCCTACTTCAAAAGTACTGTTTTCCTTTTTCCCTCGTCCTCAACCGGCTTGTAGAGGATTGGGCCCAGGACCGGAGGACGCGCCCATTCCGTGCCCAGCGGCACGGTGGCGAGAATGAAGAGGGATGGGGACGGCAGGGATCGACCTAAACCGTGTTTTTTCGACTTCGTTGGCCGTTTTCCTTTCGATTTCGTTTTTGCAGCACAGACTGGTCGAAGACAAAACGAGGAAGATGGAAACAAAACGAATATGAATAGCCATGTCTAGGGTGATCTATAGGAGACGGTCAAGGAGGGAGACGCGGGAGGCTGGGGGGCCGACTTCTGGCCCCCACCCCCGCGCGCGAACCATGTGCCAGACTGGTTTGTGTGTGGTCTTCGCGGGCCTTGGAAACGGCACGGCCGTTTTTTTTGACCGGATCGGTTTTGTTGGTTTTCCCAACCAACATGTGTTGTTGGGTCCTCGTTTTAAAGACACGGTCCCCGCGTCTCGTCCTCGTCCTTTTCTTCCTCCTTCCTCCCCTCCTCTCCCGTGTTCCCTCCCCCCCGCCCCCAGTGGGGTGTACCACATGCGTCTCCCCCACCCAGGACAGCGCTCCGTGGCCCCATACGGAGGTCCACCTAAGGCCCCAGTGGTGTGTACCACATGCGTCTCCCTCACCCAGTACATCGCTTCGTGGCCCCATAGGGAGGTCCACCTAAGGCCCCAGTGGTGTGTACCACATGTGACCCCCCCATCCAGTAAAGCGCTTCGTGGCCGCATAGGGAGGTCCACTTAGGCCCCCGCGGTGTGTACCACATGCGATTTTCCCACCCAGTACAGCGTTCGTGGCCCCATCTGGAGGTCCACATAATGCCCCAGTGGTGTGTACCACATGCGTCTCCCCCACCCAGTGCAACGTTTTGCGGCCCCATAGGGAGGTCCACCTAAGGCCCCAGTGGTGTGTACCACATGCGTCTCCCCCACCCAGTACAGCGTTTCATGGCCCCATATGGAGCCCCACCTAAGGCCCCAGTGGTTTGTGCCACATGCGTTTCCCCCACCAGGAAACAGCGCTTCGTGGCCCCATAACGAGGTCCACCTAAGCCTAAGGCCCCAGTGGAGTGTACCACAGGCGTCTTCCCCACCCAGAACAGTGGCCCCATATGGAGCCCCACCGAAGGTCCCCGTGGCGCAGTCCGCATGCGTTTCCCGCACCCACTACAGCGTTTCGTGGCCCCATATCGAGCCCCACCGAAGGTCCCCGTGGCGCAGTCCGCATGCGCCCCCCCCACCCAGTACAGCGCTTCGTGGCCCCATCAAGGGTTCCGCAAAAGGTCCCCGTGGCGCAGTCCGCATGCGCCTCCCTCACCCAGTACAGCGCTTCGTGGCCCTATATGGAGCCCCACCGAAGGACCCCGTGGCACAGTCCGCATGCGTCTCCACCACCCAGTGCAACGTTTTGCGGCCCCATGGGGGCTCCGCCGAAAGCCCCCGTGGCGCAGTCCGCCGCATGCGTCTCCATCACCCAGTATAGCGCTTCGTGCCCCATAAGGAGCCCCACCGAAGGTCCCCGTGGCGCAGTCCGCACGCGTCGCCCCCACCCAGTACAGCGCTTCATGGCCCCATATGGAGCCCCACCGAGGGTCCCCGTGGCGCTGTCCGCATGCGTCTCCCCCACCCATTACACGTTTCGTGGCCCCATATGGGCTCCGCCGAAAAAAAAGGTCCTGCAGTACAGCGTGTCGTGGCCCCATAGGGGCTCCGCCGGAGGTCCCCGTGGCGCAGTCCGCATGCGTCTCCCTCACCCAGTGCAGCGCTTCGTGGCTCCATATGGAGCCCTACCGAACGTCCCCGTGGCGCAATCCGCATGCGTTTCCCTGACCCAGTACAGCGTTTCGCGGCCCACCGAAGGCCCCCGTGGCGCAGTCCGCATGCGTCTCCACCATCCAGTACAGCGCTTCGTGGCCCCATCAAGGGTTCCGCAGAAGGTCCCCGTGGCGCAGTCCGCGTGCGCTTCCCTCACCCGGTACAGCGCTTCGTGGCCCCATATGGAGCCCCACCGGAGGTCCCCGTGGCGCAGTCCGCATGCGTCTCCCTCACCCAGTACAACGTTTCGTGGCCCCATAAGGAGCCCCACCGAAGGTCCACGTGGCGCAGTCCGCATGCGGTTCCCCCACCCAGTACAGCGTGCCGTGGCCCCATAGGGGGCTCCGCCGAAGGTCCCCGTGGCACAGTCCGCATGCGTCCTCTGCCCACTGCACCTCCGTCGGAGGAACGGAGTGGGCTGCGGAGGAACGGAGGAGGAGGAGGAGGAGGAGGAGGAGGAGGAGGAGGAGGAGGAGAGGAGGACGAAGACGATGATGATGTTGAGGATGAGGATGATGATAATGATGATGATGATAATGCTGATGATGATGATGATGATGATGATGATGATGATGATGATGATGATGATGGTGATGGTGATGGTGATGGTGATGATGATGATGATGATGATCATGATGATCATGATGATCATGATGATCATGATGATCATGATGATGATGCTGATCATGCTGAACATGATGATCATGATGCTGATGCTGATGCTGATGACGGTGATGATGATGGTGATGACGAAGATGATGATTATGAAGATGATGATGATGATGGTGATGATGATGATGATGATGATGATGATCATGATGATGATGCGGATGATCATGTTGATGGTGATGCGCTTGATGATGATGCAGATGATGATGCTGGTGATGATACTGTTGATGACGATGGTCACGATGATGGTGATGCTGACGATGGTGACGATGACGACGATGACAGTGCTGACGATACCGATGATGATGGTGATGATGATGATGATGATGATGATGCTGGTGCCGATGATGATGATGATGATGATGATGATGATGATGATGATGATGATGATGATGATGATGCTGATAACGATGACGATGACGATGACGATGATCATCATCATTATCGTCCATAAGATGGTGTTGATGACGACGATGCTCATGATGATGATGATGATGATGATGATGATGATGATGATGATGATGATGATGATGATGATGATGATGATGATGATGATGATGATGATGATGGCCCCATTGGGAGCCCCACCGGAGGTCCCCGTGGCGCAGTCCGTTTGCGTCTCCCCCACCCAGTACACCTCCGTCGGAGGACGTCGGAGTTCCGCGCCTCGCTCGCCCGTCGTCGCTCTGCCCAGCGGCAAGAGCCTTGCCCGCTATCAGCCAGCCAGCTAGCTCTCTTTGCTCCGCGCAGCGGACGACCCGCGCGCGTCGCTGGGACCCCTCCGGGGAGACCTGCGCGCGTCGCGGGGACTCCGCGCTGCCTTGCGCCCGCAGCCTTGGACTTTTGAGTGCGCGGGCAAAGAGGAAGTAAAAGAAGGGGAGGAAGCGGGCGCGATCCTCGGGGGGAGGCGCGCCGACATTGGCGCCGCGGCGCGCGGGCGATGCCGTCGGGGAGTCCCGGGGAAGCTCCTTGCGGTGGCCACGCCCAGCGTCACGAGCATTCAGAGGCAATCGTTCTCAAACTATCGACATTCATATGCAATTACACAATCCTTTGTCATACTCGCATCCATTTTCGTAGACTCGCTCGCACGCAGATTCATTCACAGTCAGACGCGCTCGCGCTCATATTCACCCGCGCTCAGTCCCCCCACGTACTCAGATCAATCGTTTTCGTTCGCGTTGTGTACCACGCCACTCTTTTCGGCACACCCCTAGCACGGTTCGTTGCCTCATAAGGATCACCACCGAAAAAGTGAATCACAATTGCGGTACTCACACCTGCATATGGTTGGGTCTTTGTCAGGCTGATTGTTGCGGGCTGCGTCGCCGTTGTTTGCCGAGTTTGGCACCGTTTGGGCTCCTGTTCCCCACGCGGAGCCTTTTTTCGTGCCGTCTCCGGTCGCCATGTCTTTCTTGTTTCAAGAAAACACGGGTTTGCCGCTTCGGGGGCCCACAAAGTTTGTTGAGGTGTTGGTGTATAAAAATCGCGTCGCCAAGGGGGTGTTTTTTTGTATGCAGCCCGCACCCCATGGTACTGTGCCAGACCAGCTCATGTGTAGGGAAGGTGCACAAAAGTTGCGCCACCCGAGGATGAGGCCGATGATAATAGCGAGGAGTGCGGAGGACGGGGTCTGGAGCGGATAGCGACCTGCGCTCGCGCGCTCGCCAGGTGAAGGCGTGCGAGTGCCAGCTGGACGCGTTCATGGCGATGCTGAGCGACATCGGGCAGCTGGAAGAGTGGAGGCGCCGGCAGAGCCAGGAGGACCGGAGAGGACATCTCTGCACGATCGAAGCCATGGTCGAAGAAGCAAGCACGGGCCCTCATCAACGCTTGGGCTGCCTCGAGGCAGGAGGCCTTCCTCCTCCTCCTCTTCCTGCCCACCGGGGGAAAAGGAAAACATGGCACAATCATGAATTGTCGGAATTCCGCACGGAGCAGCGCTGGGAACCCCGGCGGCGCGTCCGGCGCCGTTCTGGACGTGGCTCGCGCCATGGAGGGGGTGCCCATTTCAGATCGGAGAAGTCCGTGCCGATCTCCGACAATTCAAGTTTACGCCTTTTCTCTCCTCTTCGCTAATGAAGGCAAGAAGATAACCCTGTCAGTTGGACATGTTGCAATAAGAGCACCTGGCTTGCACCAATGTTTGCGCTTTCTCGAGGAAGGAAGCCCTCCTTCTCGTCCTCCTCCCCTTTTCCCCCTTCAAGAGGAGGAACAACTGCATAGACTGAGCGTTCGGAGTTCCGCTCGGGCTTCTTGGATCAGGTAAGCTAGTTCTGTATGATCGTCATGGACACGGAGGGATCATGAATGAGGATCGGCAGCGAGCCATGCTTATTTCGAAAAGGATTCGTTGGCGGTGTCGCAGCAAGCGTAGTTCTCTTGATACAATCTATCGCTTTACCAACAACGCTTGCTGTCGGTGTTGGACAGCATCTGCTGTTCAGCATCGTGAAGTGTTTGTCCGTGCTCATTCTAGGATGGCAAAAACCATTGGGAGATGGACGGGAAGGTACGAAGTATGAACGAGGATGGGTGGAGGCGCCAGTTGCGACGAGGAGGAGCAGGAGCGAGGGATGAGGAGCTATATGCATTCTGTCTCAGGAGGAGGGAGGAGAGGGGGGGGACGCAGCCACAGCTGAAGTCGAAGCCAAAGCCGAAGTGGATTGAAGCATGGATAGGGCCCACCCTGCAGGTTTGGCTGACAGCACGTCGTGGAACAGTGCCGCGGCCTCCCCTGAGCACAGGTTTTCCCCAGAACATCGGCCAGACAAGCCGGGCATGCATTCTCAGACAAGTAGGGCCTGCATCCTCCGCGCACGGCCGGGGTCGACGTCGCTCCTGCCCGTGCTGCCGCCTCGCTAGGGTCGCATCGCTGTGCGACGGCTGTATCCGGAGCGACCACTTATAAACGTCATCTGCGCGAGAAAAAACCTCAGACAAGCTTGGGGGAGGAGGGAGCAGAAGAGGAGGGGGGGACCCAATGGGACACGAGGCCGAGGATGACGAGACGCAGAAGCGAGGGAGTCGGCGCCCCCCTCCCTTTTTGTTGGGGGGGCCTCCTTCGGGGGTGGACAGACCTCCTACCCTGACACGTCGATTAAGGAGAATTTGCCGCTTTCGGTTCGCGAGAGGGCGTCGCGGCCGTCCTTCTTGCGGGTTCAGGTCCGTCGGTTTCGGTCCCAGGCCGTTTTCACTAAAGGGAGATTTGCTAAAGGGAGGTTTGTCCACTGCCGACTCCTGGAAAGGCTGGAATGCCCTGGGCAGGCCGTGCTCACAAGGGCGCGAGGAGGAGCAGCCTCGTCGTCCCGACGGAGGTGCTCGGAGCTTCGGCAGCGAGCGAAGGGGGGGGGGAGGAGGGGGAGGGGAAGGCGAGGAGGAGGAGGAGGATGAGGAGGAGGAGGAAGAAGAAGAGGAGGAGGAGGAAGAAGAGGAAGGAGGGGGGGGCTTCTCGGATGCCTCGCGCCTCCTGAGAGGTTTCCTGCGCCTCCGGGTCGGGCTCGGGGAACTTCTCGGAAGGCCGGAGGATTTCAGAGCCCTCCGAGAATGTCCGCCCCTCCTGCTTTCCCCCCCGTTTGCCGCCCAGATTCAAGCGGGAGGGACAGGTCTGCACAGCGCATGAGCAGACGCTGATTGTCATGAGAGCACTGGACGGTCTGGGAAGTGGAGGGGGGGAGAAAACGTGGAGCAGTGAGGGGAAGCCTGGAACTTGTGTCGACCTGTTTGTGTTGCCCCCCTTGGCAGCCTGGATCCACGGAGCCCCTCGGGGAGCGGAGGCTTTGTGGCAGCGCCTGACGGAGGTTGCAGCAAGTTTTGTTTGGATGCTGCTGCAGCGGGTTGCAAACGTAGTTCAAGCAGTGGCGAAGCGTCCTGGCTCGCCTATAGCCCTACCAAACAATGTTCTAAGAACCTTTTGTGGTTTCCACGAAATGTTCTCAGAACCTTTCTGGTTGAGAGTGTTTTGTTTTAACACACCGGGTGTATGTTCTAAGAACACTGTTTTTGTTCTTAGAACATGGTTGGGTTCTATGAACATTTCGTGGTAGGACTGTAGGGATGCCGGGTCGGCCGGTCCCTGCTCAAGTAGTGCGATGGAGGGCACACTGGATCCCGTGGAGGGACAAGGCGCGCAGAGCGACCTAGGTTCGGAGGCAGAAAAGAGGGGGGTGATGACTAGGGGGGGGGGGATACCATGGCGGGGGCATGATATTTCCGCGCACATGCCGCCGGCAATGATTTGCACCCCCCCTCTTGGACACTCCCCTCTTGGCCGCTCCCGATAGGTCGAGGTGGTGCGACGTCGCGAGCACAGTCGCGGCACAATCTGCCCTCGGAGAGTCTCAGCGGCGAGCAGGCGCTTCCGGGAGCGGGAGAGTCGTTGGCCGAGGCTCTCCGCCGCGCGCCCCGCTCTTCGGGGCGGCCTCCTGAGCCGAGGTGCGCGTCGGTCAGTCCGTCGGTCCGTGGACACACTTGGCATCGCTCGGACGTGTGCGTTTCTCCTGAGACGAGGACCACCGAGGAGCATCCTTGAGCATTTGGCGGAAAAAAAAGCCACGCACGAAACCCGGAAAAAAAACACAGGGAAGGGACGTCCGAGCGATGACGAGGATGCAGTGCGGCGACAGGGCCCCTGCAGGCGCGGATGCCTGTCCGATGGTCCCCGATGAGGCCGACAGGCCTGGCATCGCTCGGACGTGTGTATTTTTTTCTCGGCGAGAACCATTGAGGACGATCCTGGACCATCGAGCAACAAAAACAGCACGCACGAAACCGGAAAATGCACGGGAAATGGACGTCCGAGCGATGGCGAGTAGGTCGGGCGGCGCGGGCGGTTTTCGGAACAGGGAGGCGGAGGCGGCGGCGGGGCGCCGCTGCCGTGCGCGCGGGCGCTTCCCGTGCGCCCGTGGGGTCCAGCAGCCGTGCGTCGTCGCCGCGATCGGCGATCGAGGAGGCACTCGAAGACGAGGAGTATGACGGGTAACCTTCCCAGGGGTAGCATTACATCCTTTCACCACCAGCCCCTTGGCATCGCTCGAACGTGTGCATTTTTTCTTCGGCGAGGACCATCGAGGAGCATCCTTGATCATTTGGCGAAAAAACCACGCACGCAACCGAAACAAACACAGGGAATGGGCGTCCGAGCGATGGCGAGGCCCAGGGGGGAAGTGAGGGGGGCTTGTGAAGTCTTCACAGAAGGCCTGGAAGTCCTCCGGCCTCCTGAGGAGTTTTTCCTAAGCTTCACCTGCAGGCACAGACAACCTGTCAGAAGGCGCGAGAGCTTGTTAGAAGCCCCGCAGCCTTTGAAAAGATCTTCTCCTTCTCATTTCCCCCCTTCGCGCGCCGCCGAGTCCTTGCCGCTTCGGTCGATTCGCGACCGTTTTCGGTTACCAGTCCCGCTTGGAAAGCTCCGAAATGAGCGTATAATAGTTGTCTTCGGTATCGAGCGTCCTTACTATCGGTTTTAACGGTCGAGGTCTTTGGGCGTGTGTGGATGAGTTGGGGCGTTTTGGGGGTCACCCCCGTGGGGTTGAGGGGGTTCGGTGGGTGGGCAGGTTAAGTTCGCAAGGGAGGCAGCATTGCCGCTTGGCTCACTTGCTGATTCGAGTGCGAGGTGTGCGGGTTTGATTTTGGCTTGGACGGCCCTCCTTGTGGGTTCGTGGTTCAGGTGGTACTGGGCGGTCTGTTTGCGCGCAGTGTGATCTAAGAGCGAGTGTAAGGTCCTTCATGCACTTTGTCATCCCGAACTCTCACGCAGCACATCCAGGAGTGCGCGAGAGCGCTTCGTAATTCTGGCCCTTCAGTGGTCTAGGCTGCAGGTATCCTGCAGGCCTTCCACAACTGAGCCTTGGGACGCTCCACTACGCGTTTTTCCTGTGATCCCCAGGACGGCGGCAGGCGTCATGCGACCCCACAAAGGGCGCGAGGATACCCAGCTTGCGCGGACAATGTCGCCATGACGGGGCCCGAGAAATCACGCGATCCTAGGACCTCCCGCTGGTACGACAATTCCGTAATCTACAGGGAGTGTGCGAATCGTATGAATTTTTTCATGGACGGACGGAAGGTGCCACGACACTATTTCGCCTAAGGCAAGTGCAGGTTCGCGGCACCATGCGAATTACCGCCCGACGGCGGTGCACGTCCACCATGAGCACAACCCAGCAGCACCGGGCACGTCCACCAGTGAATGGTCACCGTCAACAGCATCTGGCAAAAAGGACAGCCAATCACCAACACCACGCCCAGCCGCACGATCGGACTAAACTGACAATGCTAGACGCACGCGTGGAGACGCGCCATATTCAAAACAAGACGGACGAGTCAGGGACCGACGCGGCACAGCTCTGGGCGTCATGCCATCAATTGAGGATCCAAGACTTTGTGGCGCACTTGCAAAACCACCACGGCCCCAAGACTTGCGAAGCCTACCTAGCTTGAAGGGTCATGACCCAGCAGTCGTCAGACGTGAGCTGCGGAAGCTACGCCTCGGATGGCATAGCGCCGAAGAGCCCAAGATCTGTGTTGTTTTCTGCTCGAAGGACGGCCTCGATTCTTTCCGTCCTGGCATAACGAAAGATGTTTGCGAAACCTTTTGGGCGTGTCGTGCGTGGGACAAACCTGGGAAATCCACCGTGACGTCCGTGAGCTAGCCATGCCACCCCAACGAGGAGGTGGAGATTGACCTGATGTGTTGCAACAGAGATATAGTTTCTGTGATTCGTGGCCGTTTCACACGGAACGCACGACAGGGAATCCCTGACCTTGCTGCGCACGTCATCTCAGATGTTTCTCGCTACTGCTGGCGCATCCACGAACAGGCAACGGCACCCATACTCTGACAGAGAGGGCGCCTTATATTACGGCATCGCGACAGCCACTCCAAAGGACATGGGCGCCGAGCCGCGGATACGAGCTCCAGGTCAACATTCGACCGCCATCGTGGCCAGTTGTGGCATCCTGTTCGGCACGACGCACACAGTGGAATATTTTTGAAGAAAGAAGAACACATCGATACACATCAAAAAGTTTTCTGCTGAGGCCCGTTTCGCGTGCAATGTGTTTACATTCGGCAACGGTGCATCACCCTACAACGCGCAACTTGATCGCGAACCGCCATCGGCAGCGTCTGGTCGCGCCAGGGAACTGCCACGCGTGCAGTGGTCACCCTCGCTGCTGGCTTTGCTGCAGGGCAACCTGCCGCCGCGTCCACGTATGCCCCTGACTTTGGACGCAACTTGCGCATGGCGGCTGGCAGCAAGATGCGCCTCGCAGACGATTGGGCATTAGCATTCCCCATGCGAAAGTACTTGAGGGTGCAGCTGCGGCGCGCCTTGCCAAGAGCGCGCGCGCAAGCTGCCGCGCTTCGCGCGATGGCAGCCTCAGATTCACGCACGTGCGACTGCGCTGTGTGAACCCTTGCCCCCGCCGGCGCGCAGTGCACGGGGCCGCCGCGAACGTCGGAGGCAGCGCGGGCTTCGCTCGATCCAGGATCATCCAGCGTCTCGGGCCCGGCCATATTTCAAGGACTTTCAGATGTCGGCGCGGGCAGCGACCCAGGGGGTCGACAGCAAGAGCTTGCAGCCCGAAGGCCACTGGTTGGACCTGAAGGGGCCGACCCCCAACGATCCAGGAGAAACAGGGCGAGCCCTCGGGCGCGCGCAGCGACGGGGGGCGTCATGGGGAGCTCGACGTGGGACAAGAGTAGCGACAGGCATATTCTTTTAAACCACTACGGCCCTGCATTTGAAGCTGTGCCGACGCTGATGATTTCAGGCGAATGCGCACTGGTTTCTTAGACGTCCGACGATCGCAGCAATTTGCTTGCTGAGCCTGGAACCATGCTGGACGGCGATCCGGGATCTGACGCCAGCCGCTGCACCTATGCGCGCACGACGTTAGCTATGCGCTAGACGCAGACAGCCATGGGACACGCTGGAGAATGTGCAGAACTACAGGCACGGGGGGGCAGTCGCGCATTTAGAGCAATGCGACCCTGAGACCTGCCGCCAGCTCGACAAATCCGCAATCTATTGGGAGCGTGCGAGTCGCATGAAAGGAGATGATGGGCGGATGGTGCCAGGACTTTGCGTCAGCTAAGGCAAGCGCGGGGCGGCGGTGCCATGCGAATCGCCATCCGACGGCGGCGCGCGCCCACCGCGAGCGCGAACGGCGCCGGCACCTCCACGGCAGAGCGCGGGCGGCAGCGAAAGGTCACCGCCAGCAGCATCGGGCAAACGCGACAGCCAGTCACGAGCACCGCGCCCTGCCGCGCGATCGCAGTCAAGCGGCAGCGCTAGGCGCGCGCGCGGAGTCGCGCCGAGCTCAAAATGAACAGGGCCGACGCGGCACATCTCCGGGCGTCTTTCCGTCAATTGAGGATCCAAGACGCCAGGGCGCGCCTGCGGGGCCACCGCGACTCCGGACTTGCAAGGCCTAGCTGCTGGAAGCGCGCTTCCGATGGCACAGCGCCGAAGGCCCGCTATGTGTGTATATATATATATATATATATATATATAGCGTTCGATGGTGGGCCTCGATCCTGACCGCCTGGGCATGATCAAGGGGGTCTGCGACATCATTGGGGGGTGTCGCGCGCGGGGGGAACCTTGGAACACCGCCGCGACGCGCGCGAGCTAGCCAGGCCACTTCAACGAGGGGGTGGAGTTTGGCCTGCTGTTTTTCGCAACAGAAAAATATGTATCAGACTTGTGACCGCTTCATAAAGGGCGCGCGGGACAGGGGATCTCACTGGCCGCGTCATGCGCCCCATCTCGGACGCTCGCCGCCGGCGCATCAAGAACCATGCAAGACTGCATTGCGACGCGGCGAAATCCATTCCAAAGGACAGAAGCGCCGAGCCTCGGATGCGAGCTCCAGGTCAACGGTCGACCGCCATCGAGGCCAGGAATGGCATCTCACGCGGCACGATGCACATCGCGGGAGAAACATGAGGAACAGGGATATACCGATGCAGCTCAGACGGTTTCCTGCAGAGGCCCGCTTCGCGCGCAGTGCGTTTATATTCCGCGGCGGGGCGTCGCCCTACAACGCGCAACTTGGGGGTCAGAGGCGCGCCCGCTGGGCCTGAACCCGCCGGATCGCGAGTCGCCGACGGACGCGCCCGATCACAAAGGGGAACAGCAGGTGCGCCAGGCATATTTTGAAGCCATTGCGCAGGCAATTGTAGCTGCGACAGCCCATCCCGCATTGAACGCCAACGCCAGGGATGCTGGTCAGCTCCACCACAAGACAGGATACTGAGTTGACTATCGTTGACTGCTTCGGGCTAACCAGCCTGGGGTGGGCGACTTTGACCATCTCCAGTTCTCCGCAACGCGCCTCATCGTGCACGGGCCGTCGTGGAGACGATTCCTGGAGAGAGAGAGAGATTCATTCAATGTCCACGCGCCCACCTCGCGGCGCAGATCGAAGCGTTGATGGTGTGATGGTGCGTGAACGTGTATCTCATGTTGCTGCCACGCGCGCAGCGGCCACCCCCATTGCTCATTGCTGGCCGTGCTGCAGGGCAACTTGCCATCGCGCGCGCGTTCGCCCTTGACTCCTGAGGCAGCTGGCGCATGGCGATCGGCATCAATATGTGGCCCGAAGTCCATCTTGCATTAAAGTTACCTATCCGCAAGCATTTCAGCAGCGAGGGTGCAGTTGCGGCGCGCCTCGCCGCGAGCTCGCGCGCAAGTTGCCACTATCCACGCGCAGAGAGCAGCACTTTCATGCACTTGCGATGACGCCCTGAACCCTGGCTCACACTTGCATGGGGTGACCGGGGCCGCCATGAACATCAGGGGCATCCGGGGCTGCGGTCGATCCAGGATGGCCCAGCGTCTCGGGGCCCGGTCAAATTTCGAGGACTTGCAGATGTCGGCGCGGACAGCAAACAATTGGAGCGACTGCGAGACCCTGCAGCCGACAAGCCACTGATCCATGAGAAAGGACTTGGTTTGGGATGCGCGCAGCACGGGGGGGGGGG